GGACCGCGAAGTGAAAATGTGAAAATAAGTATGAAATTGAGTCGATAACATAATCGAACAAGTCGAGGCAGCTTATTGGCACGAAATTCGCGGCCGTCAATGCCAAACAATTGTTGTCATAGACTTCGGAAAGCTAAATGCTTGTAATGAAAGTCACTTAGCGTGCACGGGCGAAAGCCTGGGGCCGTTCGGGCTATCAAGCTGTCTCGAATCTGTGAAATCATAACTGTGACTTATATCGACGTCCTATCTGTCTCTTTTCTCCGTTATCACCAGGCTGAGTCACGTAATTGTAAAATGGGAACTCTACGACGGAAAAGTGACGAATCGAAAGTATCGTGAGCGCGTATTATGATGTATGCACAGGCATACATGGATTAGAGCGATAGAGGAAAGAGAAAGGGAAGAGCAAAGACGAGCGCTTAAAAAGAAGGATAGGCAGGGTCAGACCCTCAGATGTGCGAGGATTCTCCAACGATAGACGTGTACATGTGCTGATCTTTGTAATTATAAATTGTGAATACATGTGACTAATATTTATATTATTTTCTTTTTTATTTTGTGCATGTTACAAGTTATAAATATAAACAGACAACACTAACTCGATAATATTAAATCTAAATACCAAATTGATTGATTTACTGTGTTTTTGTTATTTATTACTCCTGTTTTTAGGTATTCGGTATTCAACCAAATAGTGAAAAATAGGCCGAATAGGCCGAATACCGAATAGTAACCGAATATTCGTTACATCACTAGTTTATATGTTTCTTTTTTTAAAATCATACTGAAATGTTTGCAGGTATTTTCTTTCGGAGAATTTTAAATTAAATCCATCAAATTAAAAATTAAACTTTTGAACACAGCGCAAATATTTATTCATTACTAATTTACTTAATTTGCTTTTAAAACAAAAAAGTTATACAACAGAATGCCCAAAGCAATATATTCATTAAAACAACACTACTTTTTACGTTATATAAGACACATTTAGAGTAGGATGCAATTAAGATAATTAAAATTCATGATCGGAGTATATTTTAAAGTTTAGAACAAATGTCATTCTGACATAGTGGACTGTATTATTATAATAAAATAGCTAACATATTAAACAAGTATGTATACTCATACATAATTAATTAAGGATAATTAGTTTTCCATATTCATTACATGAAATATGCCATTAATAATGCCATTAATATGCCATTAATAAATGCCCTTAGAAAATACGTACTTAAATGGAATATATGCGTGTTACTGAAATTGATTTTGAGTGGAGTATAATGTTGACATAGGCAACGCAACAACTCGTGGAAATCTGCTAACAGAGAAATATCTCCCGGGTGGAGAAAATGCAGGGAATTGTTCCCTGTTTAGGTGTTAGATAAGTGAAAAACCCGGTAATCTTCACGTGGTCAGATTTAGCTCAGGCTCGAACCCGAGAACGATATTTAGTGTACAATGACTTCGTCAGAAACTGACGCTCACAGGTTTGATTTTGAATTTGGAAATATTGATTCTATTATTGCCCACAGGGCTGAAAGATTAAACAAACAAAAGTAATAAAATACTTACAATTTAAAATCATGGAAAACTCAAGTAATGAAATTAAAATAATTCTTTATTCCTTAAATGCAGCATCACAAATAATCGGGTTAAATATATTAAAATGTGACTACCGTAAGGATTCATGGAATATTCTATTTTTTGAATTTTATTCAAATTTACTTGAATTTTTTCTTATCCTGAATACTGTGGCATTAGTCTCCACGATATTTTCCAATAAATTCGTATGCGGAGAAGTGTTTAACTTATTCGCAGGTTTTAAATACATCATGCAGTTATTTGTTATTGGTACGATCGTATTCTGGACTTTTCAGTTCTCTTTTCTTAAAGGAATTCGTTTACATCTTCCTAGTTGTAAATCTTGCTATGAAGTAGAGAAAACATTTATTACATCCATTGAATTTCAATTTGCAGTTTTCTTCGCAGTCATTGCTTTACTGCAACTCACATTTTACTTCTTGCTTGACTTTTCTCTATATTTTGCCATGGAAAAGGCAACTGTAATGGAATTCCTTCTCTGCAATATCGATTGGGCATTATTGTTATTATTTTCAGTAGGACAAACTGCTTGCATATTATTCCTTCTTTATTATTATTTTCTCGTTTTGTTTATCGGATTTAACGCATTGTCGAGCAAACTCGAAGTAGTTCTTCATGGAAGAAACAAGATCAAAGATCTAATCGTATATATAATCGAAGAACGTACAGAATTAATGGAAAGCATTCGAAACGTCAATAATAAACTCGAAATGTATTTTCCTGCTGTTTATTGCAGTAATTTGTATGGGTTCAGTATCCTGGTAACGATTTCTTTGTTTTACGATTTACCAGCAGAGTTTAAGCTGGTTGCATTTTTTCTTATCATGTACGTAATTTTCGCATTTGTGATAATATCATTCGGTTTATCAAGATTTACGTCTTCGGTAAGATTTATTAAATATTTGTACCACCAAATTAATATATAATTTATAATGTTTAATTAACATTCATTTCAGATTTACGGAAATTTCAACGACATTAATAAATTTTCCTCATGCAGATTCTCTCTGGTTTTTAAATTGAAGGTAAATTCAGTGTTTCATTTTTACGTTATTGATAAACTTTATTCTAAAGTTATAAACTTTTTTGAACAGATGTTGAATTTTATGAAAAGGTTCGGGAAAACACCCATTGGAATTTCTTTCGGTGGATTTTTTCGAGTCAAACGCAATTTCCCGATTAAAGTAAGTTTCGATTAAATTATGCATTTTAATTTATTATTGTGGATTTTATCTTCATCCCCATTTCCCCTTTTAGATGCTGAGTAGTCTTTACTCTATTCTTTCTGCACTAATCGAATTGGAAATGAAGCATGAAAGTACGAAATGTACTTCATTACGTTCCCTGAATGCAAGTAATATTCAGAACATATTACTGTATTGAGAACGTTTCAACGTGAATACATAAACTCAACGAAGATATTCGTTAAACTAAGGAAACGATCTGCAGCTTATCAAAATAATGCTGAATTTTCTATAACTACGAACGTAAATAAATATAAAAGATATATAATATTGAATAACTAGAAGCACTTCTTATATGCACGAACACAAAAAGTAATGTACACGTGATGACTAGTGTAGAAAATAAAGTTCAAAACTATTGTATTTTTTTAATTTTCAGTCATTAAATTGATAAACATAACCTAACGAAATATTAAAGCACTCACCATACCACGTAGCTAATATTTTCTGTACACAGAAAAAACAGATCAGAATAGTCACAACACTTGTTCCCTGCAACCTTCTGATGGAAACTAACGCGCATTCAGGTGCTACACGTAAAAAAAATCGCGGTAAGCTATTTGGACAGGCGCAAACTCATTTTCCCACATATTAATAAGCTTTTTCCCTGTATTACTTAATTACAAAAATCTATTTAGTTACTTATGACTAATGAACAGGCTTATCACACACCCAGTCTATGTAATTAACTAAAAAAAAATGTATTTCGGTCTTACTTCTTTTATCAAGTAGATAACATACAAAAAACTGAAAATATATATTTACATTAAATAAACTGGGTGTGTTATAAGTCACTTTCCAATATTTGCTTCTTTCATTCAGTCGGCTATTTGTGAAACCACTAATAATACAATAATTAATGTACACCCTTCGTCAGAAATTACAGTTTTTAATATCAAATGACGTTTCTGGAATGGATGGGTTAATGCCTCGACAACATGCAAATTTCAAAAATAAAAAGTAATGGAAAAGCACGTCCTTTTCAGAAAATTTTATTTTCGAGACATATAAAGATCGGAATTACGCTAGTGAATCGCGGTGACAGTGTATTTCCTTTATTTTCTTCAACTTTTTCCTCTTAAATATTTTTTACTAAATTCTTTTAATATATNTTTTAAAAATAATTTATCGCGAAAATTTGCTTTAGAGATTGCTTCCCTTCGTTACATTAATATGACTTTTCTTTATCTTGTTTAGCATTTATAGATAGCATTTACAATTTTGAAAATTCAGATAACAAATATTTGTTATCTAGGAATATTCTAGGAATTGTATTTTAAACGCAAAAACATATTTGTTAGTACTTTGTATGTTTATAATAAACACGGCGTTTAATTTCATTTTCAATATTTATTGCTGAAAACTTGTAAACATTATAATCCATATAAATACAAATTAAATATTAACTCGTTCACGTGCTCAGTAAATACGGCATTTACTTTCATTCAAATGTTTATCGATTAAAAGTTTCGAAGTAATTTAGGCGACAGAAAGGTGAGTAAAAATGCTTAACTTTCATGAAATGCGGCCAGTATATATTTATTAGTATTTGCTAAAAATTCACATATAACTCAATATTATGCATTTTTGAATTTCATAAATATATAAGTATTTAAATTTATGTAATTAAATGAACTTTAAAATAAGCTTTATTCCTTTACGTTTGCAAACTAATTTTAAAGTATAGTCCAAAGTTGTTTGAAAGAATTAAAGACGTAGTAGTTAGTAGAATTAATTTAATATCGGAAAAAGTAAATTCAACTGAAAGAAATCTATGTTATAGAAATGAAAAAATTAATATATATAACAGAACAAAAAGGAGTTGTGTATTCCTTTAATTGTAACTGTATCTCGGAAAAAATATATTGATGAAACAAAAAGAAAATTAAAAATAAGATTAAGTGAAGATATTCGAGCGATCGGGGGAAATTATGCAAATTCAGTAGTAGCGGAACACTGCAATTCAACAGGATGTGAAGTAGTATAAAATTCAGTAAAAATAAGGGAAAAAATTATAAACGACAGGTATACGAACCTATTAATATAATTAAACAAAATAATAGAATAAATAATAATACCGGAAGAGAAATACACCAACTATGTCGAAGATTTATAGCGGGAGGGGAGTGTGTGTGATGCATAACCAGAACGATTGAAACAGGTTATGACGAAGTGTAAGTCAAGGAGAACCAAAGGGGATGTAAGTTTTAGAATAGAGTTTAAATGTAAAAAGCCTGATAAAATTAATGTTTAACGTAATAATTTATATTTTAATATAGAGATTTGTTTAAAAAGTTACTGTTAATAATGTTTAAATTTAATTGCTTGGTGGAAATCACAACAGAAAGAAACAGCCTTGAAATTGTAAGAATTTTATACTATTGTCGATAACTTTTAAAAATTATTGTCAGGAAATTTAAATGTGGTATAACAAGTTTATTGTTTTTAATTTTTATGTAGAAAGTTTCATATAAATACTTTCTGATGATAAACGAACAGGTCCGAAACGCAATATTAACATGAATATGTCCAGGTATATTAAATAAAACAATTTTCTAATCTGTGATACCGAGTCGCAGTATCCTTAAATCCACTGTAATAAGTCACGTTAGTAGATACGTACTAGTGGACGAAATAAGATTATAATAAATTAAGGACATTGAGGCATATTAATTTAACATAAAACTAATAGTTCTGTTCGAACCCTGGATGTAATTCACATTACAAGATGTACAGTATGTCTCTCTTTGCTATTCCCCGATTTCGCTACGATGGAAACTGATTGTACTCTCCGACTGGAAATGGTCACCCTTTCTTAACTCCTGTTCTCCCGGCCTAACTCAGACAACAAAAAAATAATAAATATATTTAGATACAATGCTAGATATCATAAATACCTGTGCTGCTTTTGCAAGTTTTAATAGTTCGTTTTCACTACATTCAACTAAAATTTAATTCTTCCTCTATATATATTCCTGACTTTTTCAATACTTCATTTTATCCTTTAAATATTGTAATCTTCTTTCAATATTATAAAATGAAACACTAAACTTTCACATCACTCTTTTTATATTTAGAAGAAGAAAAACCATTTACTCTGCAACAAATCTTTTATGTAAAAGATGAATGAATGAATGTAACTTAGCAGCAAATATGTTTTCGTAATATCTATTATTACGTGTTTGGTTAGCTAATTCTAACTGTTAACACTGGAATCTGTGTTATCATAAGAAATTTTAGATTCACTGTCATCAACATTAGTAACAACATTGTTTTCAATAAAAATTATTAAATTATCTAAAACATTTTTTAAAATTTAACAGTAACAGAGTTTTTGGAAGCTAACTCGGGCTTAATTTGTAACTGTTAACAATTAAAATTTTTATATTTATATTATCAATAGTAAGAGTGGCTAAAACATGTAACGAATCAACAGAAATGTTAATATAACAAAATACTAACTTTTGTTCATTTTGTAATAATGTCTAATTACGTTTTTCCTGAATCCTTATTTTGTAATGTGCTACAATGTTTTGGAAATTTGAAATTGATCTAACTTCATGATATAACCTGGTTATTATATAAGTATAAAATTATAAATATTAAATACTTCAAACTACCTTAATACAAAGAGACCAAATTGAATTTTTCCCCTCGATTCGGTAATATTTTGCAATAGACAACTCCCGTGTGTCATATNATTTGAGATTGATCTAACTTCATGATATAACCTGGTTATTATATAAGTATAAAATTATAAATATTAAATACTTCAAACTACCTTAATACAAAGAGACCAAATTGAATTTTTCCCCTCGATTCGGTAATATTTTGCAATAGACAACTCCCGTGTGTCATATTGGAAATCCGGTTATATGTCTTGCGCATGTGGGTATTGTTTGAAGCCATATTTGTGTCGTTTTCGCTCCATCTTAACCTCACGTAATACGTGACCGAGTAACCAAACTTTAAATGGGGGGAAATCGTAAACTTTGAGTGGTTCACCTGATGAAGAAATAAGGTGTTAAGTAAATTATAAAACAGAATAAAACAAATTCGACAATTAAATAATAATAATCAAGTGCGGATCTAGCTTTTTCGGGGTATAGGTCTTATTTGTCCAAATGGCCGTATTTTCTGTTACATTAAAAAATTTGGGTATGAAATTTATATTTATTAACATCAAAGTCAGAGTTGAAATTTATTTATTTATGAAATGGTGTTAAATGACAAACTTCACATCCTATTTTTAAAAAATACATGAAGTAAGTAAATAAAGTAGAGCGTCGGTTATCCGAAAGAATTCCAGTTGGCAAATTTAAATTTTCGCTAGTGCTGTGCCGCTGCAATCTTTGGCTATGTATTAGGCAACTCAAATATTTTACGTTTTTGATACTAAATTAACTTTTAAAGTATAATTTTTCATTGTTTTTATATTTTTCAATATATTTATTTTTTTTGTACAAAAGAAACAAATAATTTTTAACGGTACAGAAGCCACGATTATTATTTTAAAAAGATTACGTTAGGCTTAACATCGACGAAAATTCAACGCAAAGCGACACGCAACGGAGAAAAATTTCTACATGAGATAGGTTAATATATTTTTTCGTGCGTAATCGGTTATCCGAAAAATAAGTTATCCGAACAACCCAGTCCCCAATTGATTCGGATAAACGACACTCTACTGTGTATAGACGATTGCCTGAACTTATTTATTTAGTTATCTTCAAGAGCAATAATATGGCGTTTTTTTATGATTGTCCCAGACGTGAAAGAATATCGATACTTTTATAAAGGTAAGTTTAAATATAGTCGGAGCATATGTGAGAACTATTTGCTTACTATAAACATACACACAGGTATAACTGTAGAGTTTAGCACTGCAGCCATCCTTTAATTAAAACTCATCAATAGATTTTGATATCAGTTTCTTACAACTTTAATATTAACGAATGAAGTAAGTCAAAAATTTTAAGAAACAACTTATATAAGTAAATCGTAGAAATATATTCCTGAGAAGGTATTTATAATCTGTTTTACCTGGTACTTGTATTTTTAATCTGGAGAATACCCTGACGTATGGAGATATGAAGCATTGTTACTGAAATTGTCCAGGTGGACATACGTCGCATTTTTTATGCAGCGCCACTCTATTGCTTTGACTCGGAATCTGCAACGTCACAGTACTGACTTTATACAACGAACAATGGGAAAACATCGCGCAATACTTCACTGACTTTGCGATACTATAAAAATATCTTAACCTTTATATTTTGTATTTTTTTTTAGCTATTCAAAGAAATTGTCACTAAGTAGCTTGTAAGTCACATCAAAACGAAAACGAAAATAATTTTTTAATGCGTGAATGTATTGATTGATTGGTATTAAATAGTGCGACACCAAAGCGATCTGCAAACCGGGAAATTGACGAATGGGTGTTCAGGGAGAACTGGTTTCTATTCCAGTGTTATCGCCGCGAAGGAAACCCAATGAACTTCACTAGCCAGCCCATGCCGACTACCAGTGTTTAGGGATTAAATCCTGATTCTATTTAGCCACTGTCCACATGGGTGTCAGATAAAGAACGACGGTTCGTCGTTTTTTTATCCTACACCCATGATTCTACGTCGAATTCTAGGTAGAAAATCGTTTGCAGCTGTCTCAAATAGAAACCTTTATGGAACAATACAACTCAGTCCTCTAAATGGCCTTGAATGTGTGAGAGAAACAACGAATGCCTTTGAAATTATTTCTCAAAAGCTTCACAAAGTTACCAAAGCGAGAAGGCGAAGTGCAAAACAATAACAAAACATTTGTAAACGAGGCCCTTAACTTTTCTGGCAAAATTATTTAAAATTGAGTTTTGTTCAATCCGTTAAAATACTTTATTTGTAGAAAAACTCTATATAATTGATTATTATAAAATTGAAAAAGCTTAATTTTGAGGGTAGAGATGGGTGGTATAAAAAGTTAGTTGTTCGTAACAAGTAAAATCTCGAGATATCACACATTACTTATTTGTATCTCCCCACCCAATTGACAGTTACCTATCAAAATTTAATAGCAGCAATGTCCCTTATACACAAGCTACCAAGCTAAATTTAGTTTCTTAATCGTTACCCCATCCCGAAATATTAAACGAAGTAGACGACAACACAAACTTAGACATCACAGATACATATGCATAATAATCTAACTAAAAAAACGAAACGAAAAACATATCACATTAAATTGGTTTTCTATCAGGTTGGGGTAAACATTAAGAATAAAAATTTCTCACGCTAGCTTGTGTATAGCAAACATTAATGCTATTAAATTTTGATAATTAAACCCGAAGAGTGATGAGATACGTGTCATATGTCCAGTGCAGTTGCACTTAAAAGAGATTTAACTTGTTGTTAGTCAGCAATTACAGTTTTTTATAAACACATCTCTACTCTCAAAATTAAGCGTTTTTCGTTTCATTATAATTAAAAATATAGATACTTTTTATAGCAAACTCTCATAACAGATGGTGTTACACACAATTTAATTTATTTATTATAATTAATAATATAAAAGTTATTTTTTTAAATAACATCTCGTAACAACTGAGTTACTCAACTCGCTGCTACACTTTCAAAGACAAAATTACCATTATCAAATGTGTAACCTGACAATTACTATTTAAACATGTTATTACACGCAACATTTGCTATTGTCTGAATGAACGATTTCAGGTACTGCATTTCGATAAATGTGAATCTACTTTAAAATTATTATTAGAAAGAAAATAGGTTTATCGCTCTAGTGTCGTGTTAATGATATTCACACAAATATTTTTCTGTATTTGCTAGAGCATAAAATACTTTTTGCAGTAATGATTTTCATATTAGTTTTAAATGCTTTACTACTAAATAATGAAGTAAAGTCTATCAAAATATTAAAGAAACAACTTATAGAATTAAATCAAATAAACATATTTGTAATTAGGTATTTAAAATATATTTTTCTGAATTCGTGTATTTACTTTTCATTCGGACAGTTTCAGGCAGACACATTGAGTTAATCGAAAGTGTCGTTTTGGTCCCTTAGTCGGGAGACACTTTCAAATATATCATCTAAAGCTACAGTGTGCAATAAAGGCAGTTAAACATGGTTATTCGTATAGGTTACTCATAAGTTCAAAGAAGAGGGCCACACTTTTCCCTAAACCTATAGTTCAATTCAACACTTGTTTAAATTATTGTTGGTCATTTTAAATTAAACGTTATAAATATATTGATGACTACAAAAAAGGCTTTTTGTTTTCACACTACCGTCGACAAAAAAGGTTGTTTTAGCCTATTAACATATCCTTCTACAGAAGCGTAGCCTAAAAC